ACACACACACACACACACACACACACATATACATACAGATGTGCGGACATCATCGTAAAAATAGTCAGGGAAGCTTCCTGTGACCTTCAAACGTCGAGCTCTGATGAAAACTCGATTTTTGTAAAACGGGGTGAAAACAATAACTTCCCGATTTTTGAAAATCTGAGATTTTTAGCGGGAAGTTAAAAATTATTACGATAAAAAAAACATTTTTAAAAATTCGCACTCATAATTTTTTTAAACTTCTACATGTGGAATTTTATTCATAATAATTTAATTGTTATAATAATCTAAAAAATTGTTAGATATTTATTGATTCCAGTATTATAACAATAGTAATTTTATTTTTTTAGTTATTTGATTGTTAGGTAAATTTTATATTAGTATCATAAAAAATTAAAAATAAATTTTTCAATTAATCTTGAAGCTTCTACCTATTGTTGAAAAAAAAAAAAAAAAAAAAAAAAACAAAATGTTTAGCTTAAAGAATTTCTATTTATTTTTTTATTCCTATATTTAAAGACTAAAAATTAAAAATTTTTATTCAATCCCAGATTTGTAAATTTTAGGATTTCCAAAATTTTTTAAGTGTAAAAATGACAGGTTTTTTTTTTTTAATTTTATTCTAGATTGACTTTAACGGTAGGTCGTAGTAAATATATTTTTAGAAATTTTATTTTTCTCATCACCTCTTGAATAAATTTTGAAATCAAATAAAATAGAGTTTCCGAAATATAGTTATTGCGGAAGCTTTATAATAGTTCATTTAAAAATTTTTTCATAAAGTAATTATGAAAATAAAATTTCAGAAAATACACTCACTACGGCTTACCATTAAGACAAAGAAACTAAGGGTTGAAAATAAATTTAATTATGTTGATTTTTTATGTTTTGAACTATTGTGGTCCCAACTTTCAATCAATTAATTTTAGTATTTGAAAATCTAATTTTTTTTTAACTTAAAATTTCATACAAAAATATCTCAGTCGTAATTACAATAAAATCATGAATAAAATTTTGTAAAAATAATTTAATTCAATTAACTGTGAAAAAAATAACTTGAGTTGATAGTAATAACAATTTATTACAGGAAAATGTTCACATTCTTTATAATAAGAGTTATCACTTATGGATTTTAATCTCAGCCTCTAAAAATCATTTTTTTTTTTTTAAGTAACTATTTGATTTATTTCAAGAAAGACATCATCATTCTGAATATTACACATGAGAAATTTTTGATGAAGAAGCATATTCTATAGATTCACAGGGCTGACATAAAATTAACAGGCACTAATAATTCCATACAATAATCATTGCCGATTGACACTCGGTGGTTGAATTATTTTTTTATTTTATTCTGTTTTTATGATTCTACTAAATTGTTTATCAATGCGACTTGATGAGACTGTTTTTGAAGCAGTTAAATTAACAAATATCAATCATTTTAATCGTTTCATTCGTATCATAATTTCTGATGTTACTGCTAAAAATCGCGATATCAATCAACTGTCAATACAAGATTTTGCCTTTTTGTTTTATTGATCATGTAACTATCCTACGCTCATCCCATTAAACTTTAATTAAAAAATAATAATAATAATGATAATTAAAAAAAAAAAAGAATTTACTAGCTTCATTCGTTGCCGAGATATTTGCAGTTATAGCTCGTATTCATTTTTTAAAAATAAAATTTTCAACAAGAACCACACGTTTCGAATATTTACTTCGTAATTAATTCATGTTATCTGTAGAAATCGTCTGCAGCAAAATGAATATTTTATTTGGAAAATAAATTATTTACAATTTTAGTTATTCGCGACTATGAATAAAAAATTATATTACACAAAGTCTATTTCACTATTTAACGCATACAAATGGCCTGAAAAATGAGCTTAATAATATTTTGTACCAAAAATACTCTATCTTCTGAATCATTTGGATTTATAAAGACACTTTTTATGTTCCAATTTGTTACTTTTATAATCTTAATACATGGAATATTTAGAGTAATATAATATTTTTTCTCTGCACTGAGAAAAAAATACTTCATTTCTTTTAACTCATGTAAAGCTACTTATTTTATTTTTTTTTTATTGTCACCAGAATATCCAAAAATATACACATTTACATATAATGTGATAATTATGTTTAGTGGATGCCAACCAGTTTTTCAATTTCTTTCCAATCTATATTTCTATACTAATATTATAAAGAAACAAGATTTGATTGTTTGTTTGTTTGTTTGTTTGCATTGAATAGGCTCCGAAACTACTGAACTGATTTGAAAAATTATTTCACTATTGGGAAGCTACACTATCCCTGAGTGACATAGGCTATATTATATTATAATTTTTAATTTTGAAATTTTTTGATCCATTTTTTGATTCATGAAACCTTAGATGAATTTGTTTAATTGATATTTAATTTCACAAAAAATAAAATAATATCTCAAAATTTATAAGCAAATGTTAAACGATTAATCAAATGATTTGCTTTCAGTGGTTCACTCCAGAAGGATTCAGAAGTTTATTAGCATTAGTCGGCACAAATGGTCAAGGAATAGGTACGAGCGCATTCAGCCGTTGGGTAAAGAATGTAACTGCTCTGGAATTACCCACAGATCGAAGGATTCAAATTGATAAGTTCATCGATCAAATTTACGACGATATGGATGAAGGTATTGTAAAATATTGATAAATATACTTAACTTAAAAATCCGGCTATTTGCATGGTGAGATAAAACACTTAATAATTTCATTAATAGTTGTAGGAACTTTTCTTAATAATGAAGGATCCGGTTTATACGCACTTCAATCAACTCTCAATCATAGCTGTTCACCAAATGCAGTTGTTGAATTCCCTTATTCTAATAGTACTTTAAGGATAAAAGCAATCCGTGATATTCAGCCCGAAGATGAAATTTGTATCGGATATTTAGATGAATGTGAGCTAGAGCGTAGTAGGCATTCTCGACAGAAATTATTGAGTTCATTGTACTTGTTCGTTTGTCAGTGTGACAAATGCATCGCGCAAGCTGATGATTCTGATGTTACTTCTGATGATGATTATGATCATGATATGTCAAGTTGAAATATTAAAAAATCAAATGTGACTTTTATATAAAACATCGCCGTACTTTATAATCTCAACTACCAGCAGGTCTGAATAAACTTTTCACGAAAATTAAATACTTTTTCATTCATTGAAGAAAATAGTTAGCTTTAACTTGTAGAAGAATTATTTTTAATCATAATATTTCAGGACTTATAAGGATAAACACTTACATGGATTCAAAGTTCAAATTGGCAGAATTTTGGAATAGATATGTGGTGCCACATAGAGATCGCTAGTAATAATAGTAAAATACAATGTTGAACGTATGGAGGGTAGATATAAGGAGCACTGTCTCTGTGTATAGAAAAATGGATAAATTTTAAGGAGGTTCAAGCGAATCTAAAGTGCAAAATAATTTCCAACTTTGACCTTCAAAATTAAGTATACGTATAAATAAATACGTAATTTATCTAACTAGAATTTAATTTTCGCGGGCAAGCGCGCGCGTCATATTTATTGTCATGATATATTTATGTGTCGTTTATGTATAGTATATTCACTTTCAACCTATCAGAATGAGAATATTTATTTTCGACCAATCACGTTACGAATAGTTTGATGCCACATACATTTCATCTCTATTTTATATTAGGACCCCAAAATTTTAAAAAGATTCACCGTTTAGCTAGTTATTAAATTTCAAAAATCACATTTTTTATCTCCTTATACACGGGCTCTTATGGCGGACAAACTTTAGTCGAGACTTTAATTATTTTTTTCAATATTAACCTCCCAACTTTAACGAATAAACAAACTATACCCAAGAAACTTGGATTATTATAAAAAAAAGTTTGGAAAATCCAAAAGTGCACGCCTCATAACGCTCATTCATTTTCTAAGAAAAAAATTAATTGTGTAATTGATTAAAAAAAAAAATTATAATTAAGTAATTTCCTACAGAGTATTTTTTATTTTTTTTTAAATATCGGCGCCCTTTTTTCTTGTCATACGCGCACGCAGTCTAAAAAAATCTAGCTTGATCAAGTGTCGTCATAGTTTTCACGTGACAAATAAGAAAAGTTCGTTTGGCTTTGTACGGTTGTATCGTAGTGAATTTTAATAAAAATTCAATTAAAAAAAAAAATACGTAAACTAGGCCACTGATATGAAATACGGAGCCAGTTCATCGAATTCTTAAACTAATAAAAAATTGCACAAAATTGCTTGACCTTGACGAGTCGAGTATAAAGCACAACCTCATGCGCTTCGCGCTATGAGGCGTGCAAAAATTTTAATAATAATACATTACCTTTATAATTTTTGAAATATTTAAAGTTTAGTTTTATGTTTTTGACTCGTTTATCGTCAGCTATTTATTCGAATACAAATTTGGCAACGTCGCGTCAACAGCTGAGAAAAAGAAAAGGATAAAAATATAGTTACAGAGAGTGAAATTTTTAACTCACACACTCATGCACGTCTCTGTAATGGGTATAATCAAACGCGCTGTTACCAAATCTGTTTATTTAATCCGGCAAGTAATAAATAAGAAAATCATTTTATTTTATCAAATAAGTAAAAATCATCAATTATTAAATTGTTTTAAATTAAAATAAACAATTTTGATGAATAGTGGAAAGACTGAAAGTAAAAAAAAATTTAAACATTATTTTGACTCTAAAGTTACGCTCGAACCTCCTTAAAGAAAGCACTAAAAATTATTAGAGTAGGATAGAGAAGTAAACAAGGAAAGAAAAATTGTCGTTTTGTTAAGGCGCATTTTTCAAATTGAACTTTAAAAAGGAAATAATAGCATGATATATAATTGATTATGATATAAATTAAAATTATTATTTTGTAGCATCTCATTTTTAAATGCTTAATTATGCTTTAAATAGTAAATAGATGATACCGAAATTAACAAACAAATGTTTTGATAGCAACAAATTAAGAAACCTCTGAAAGAATAATAAATTTTTTTTTTTTAATAAATAAACTTCCAAAAAATTAAAAATTTCATTAGCAAGATTTGAAAGAATCACATGTGCAAATTGTGTATATATTTACTTAATAATAATCTACAGCCTAAAAAAAATAATTGGTAAGACGTTTTTGATAAAAATGTTGCTGAAGATTTTTAAGTTGATAGATAGATGGATAAATAAATTTATCAAATTCTATAGTCTAAGACTTTTTTAGGATCATAATCCAAAAATACATATCTTTTTCACAAATATACCTTTATGGTACATTGCTTAAGAAATACTAATGCATTAACCAATAATAATAGTTATAATTACAGTAGTATCAATAAGTTCTAAGATATTTTGCGGAGGCTGTTGTTGAAGAGATATTATTTTCATAAAGACAAACGTTTCAAATAATAAAAAATGTCCTTGTACAATGTATTTATTAATTTATTTATTTTCTTTATAAATAAACTCAACAGCTTTCAAGGGCCAATTAACAAGTTACAAAAAAGTTGATCTGAATAGCGCATGTAGCTATCAATTTTAATGACATTATATTCAACAAAACATAAAATTTTTATAGATATTTAAAGCTATGTGTCTGAAAAGCTTCAAGAGTTTTTTAAAAATTTTTATATATAAGTAAATATTAACATTTTTTTAAACAATATATTTAGCTAAAGAATTAGCAATATTATTAAGTGTTGGGTAGATTATATTTGACTTAATATCTCATGCATAATAATTATTTTAATTTATGAAGCCTATGATAAATCAAGTGAATTCCTTGGGAAATTGACAAAAACTATGTATAATTTTCTCGTAAGTTACTTAAGAATAAGTATTATTTTTTGATAAAATAGGTAAGATAACACCGAAGATATTTCACAGTTTCAATGTTTTTTTTTGAAGATGTATGTTTATTTAAAACGATTGGGGTAGTGTTTTCCTCGATCCTAATTTTCTATTGGAGAAGATTTAGAGATTTAGCGGAATTTCAATAAGAGTAGGGAGTCAGAACAAATTCAGTAGCACCGCAGTCTTATTTGTTTAGGTCGCGGTAGGCACTAAAGCTCTGTATCGGGGAAACTCAACGTAGTGATGGAACTTGGTGCCTGCTGTGACTCTATTATAAAGGATCACTGTGTCAATAAGATTACCACAAAATAGGTGGACAATATTCCTTTATTATTAAGCGACTGATTTTACTGTAATTTGTAAATCATACTCGGGTAACTTTAACACAGTTCCGTGTTATTTTTAGTCATACAATAATTTTCAGTGATCACGCCTTGTATAATTTGTAATTAATTTATTCATAAACCGATTTGAAAACAAAACACTTACTTTTAAAAAGCAGGTCTGTTAATTAAATGTTTACATTAACTTTGAAACTTGATAAACTCTCCTATTTTTTTAGTAGATTTCATAAAAATCTAACTATTGCAGCCGTCCTCATGGCACAACTTTTGAAAAATTTAGTCATTTTCTGACTCAGTTTGACGAGCTGAGTCAGAAAATGTATATAGTTCAAAAGTTTATATATATACGATATAACGCGGCTTGTCAGCACGATAACGTTTTCAATTTATAACCGATTCTTTTCAAACTCAACATCCTTCATCTATCGATCAAGACCAAGGTTAAGTTCGAAGATGAGCTTAATTGGGCGAGTAAATTGGAAATGACAGGAT